CAGAAGAGCTCATGGAAAGAAATATCTGCTTCTGGCCTTCTGGAAACTGCTGGGCTCTGTAGTCCTGGGCTGATGCTCCCCTTAGAAACAAAATAAGAATAAAACGATAGGTAATCTGGTGAGTGCCTAAGAATACAGACTCTGGAGACAGTGTGGGTTGGAATCCCATTTACCAGCTCTGTGACTTTGAGCAAGTAGCTTAACCTTTCTGTGCCTCAGTTTCCTCATCTGTAAAATGAGGGGATGGTAATTGTGACCTCCCAGAGCTGTGATGAGCAAACAGCAAACGAGTTACAAAATATCAGTGCACTGCCATAAACTGTAGAGTGCTGAGCTTTCATTGGGAAGTATTATCTTTCATTGCTGTAGTTGAGACTGGTTGCTGGGGCAGTTGAAGAGGGAGTTAAAGAAATGGAATCATTGTGCAACTAGGAATCCCTTGGGACCTGGCCGAGTTGCAGTCCCAGAGCAGTCCTTAGGATTGGAAGTAGGGCGGTGGAGCCCCCAGCGTGCCCCTGGTGACCTGGTGACCTGGCACTGGTGGGCCAATGAGGCCCCTCTTCCCAGCACTCCCCTCTGACTTCCCAGGCCAGGGGAGAGCTGCGGGAAGTGGGATCAGGGTGTCTGGTCACCCTGGCAACCAAGGGTGACGTGAGGCAGCCCTGCCTGCTCCACTGCACTGGTGTCAGCAGATAAGGACAGTCTGAGGAGATGTAAATAAAATAATCTCATGCCAAAGAGCAGAGCAGCTACAGAGGGGCTGGGAGCCCCATGCCAATTCAAAGTTTGGTGAAGCGTCTGCTTAGCATGCCAGCGTGTGTGTGTGCACACACACGTGTGCCGACTGCCATCTACACTGGATCGAATGAGAAACACCTCTCCCCCCTCAACCTCCTCTCCTAAAAGGGGAGCTGGCCCCGAACTGTGTTAGAGGGTTTGGCCTATGGCATAGAGATGCTGAATTCCACACCTCCTCGCATCCTTGCTCTGGGAAGACTGGATGCCCTCAAAGGAAGCCTGTGGTTTGAGCAGATCACTGGACTTGGAGCGTCACGAGCTATTGTAGTGGAACTGGTCGTGTGACCTGGAGCATCACTGGCTCTCTTAGAGTTTCCATTTTCCTACCCACGTAATGGAGAATTGAAATCTATTCCAGCTCTCACACCTCTGGATCTGATCCTAGCTGCCTCTGCCCCACCCCTGATTCCATCCTGGTGACATTACCACTGCTGCAAGCTCAGGCCATGCAATTTTTGCCTCATTTCTTGGCATCACATCCTGGGGTCTTATCTCAATGCTAGGCCTATCTCAGGGTACCAGGGGGCCCCAACCTGTTCTCTGTTCCATGTCCCTTTTACCACACCCAGTGTCAGCAAACGTCCTGCACCTTGAGGGGACTCTTCAGGGTGGGGAAAGTTGGTGGATCAGAGCCTTGGGAGGGGGACAAGCCAGAACAGGCCCACGGGCTTCTCCCCCCTCCCTGAGCCACTGTGCATGAAGGAGTCTCCTCGCGATGACAGAATCCACCCTTCCCCCAGCCCTGGAAGAGCTTTCCAGTAATGTGCCGCCTACCCGTAGGCAAGGAGCCAAGGGTGCATCTCAGACCTTCCTCCTCTGCTCAGGACATCCCTCCACTTTCCTCGGCCCAGAGAACCCATCAGGGTCCAGCGCTCCTTCTGCTCACAGAGAGGCAGGCCAACAGGAAGGCCTGGGGAGATCCACTCCAGGAGCACGGCTCCAGCCCAGGTACTCTGGGAGCTGGCTTCAGTAGAAGAAAGTACACTGAGCTGGAGTCAGGAGGCCTGGGACCGCTCCAGCCCAGGCACTCTGGGAGCTGGCTTCAGTAGAAGAAAGTACACTGAGCTGGAGTCAGGAGGCCTGGGACCGAGTCCTGGGTGCCTGGCTGGGTGCGTCCTGCCTCCTTTTGGAGCTCTGGTTTTTCATTTGTCCAGTAGGAATGTCAGCTGCTTGTTCACCCAGTGATGGCGCCCCCCAAGGTCCAGAAAAGCTTGGCCATCCCATGAACTGCTCACGTAGGTTCTCCCCCGAGCTATCTCAATGTCCCCAGTGCCCAGCATGGCCTGGCTCAGAGAAATATGGGCCCTTGGGTACAGGATGATTTAGTGCTCTCTGCTCAAATCAGTTTGAGACGCCCTAAGCTAGAAAAAAGCTCCTTCCTTAGACTCTGGGGAAGGCGCCCAACCTCACTGAGCCCCAGCTTTGTCTTCTGCAAAACAGGGACAGTGCCTCTCCCACAGGGCTGTTGTGAGGGCTAAATGAGATGGTGCATGCCAAGCTCCCAGCACAGTGCCTGGCTCATGGTGTGCCTTCAGGAATGACAAACATTCTTCGTGTTACTGCTCATGGCTTTCTTTATACCCCCTCCCCCCACCCCCCGCAGGAGCCATGGCCGACTCGTTCTTGGGTCTCCAGTGCACTGTCTGGCACTTTGTGGGGCTGGGAAAGCTCTGTGGATTGAACTGATGGTGCAGAGGGGAGGGAGGCATCTTTGGAGCCTAACCTAAGTGGAGGTAGAAGCCATCGTCTGCCTGCACTGGGCTGTCTTTAGATTCCACCTTCTCCTAAGGCAGCTAGTGGTGCTGCTCTAGGACAGGGGAGGGTCAGCTGGCTGGAGCCAGACTTCTGGTCTTGGGAAGCTGCTCTCTGGCTTGTGCCTTAGGAACTCTGCTCCCCTATACCCCTGGGAAATCCTGTCTCCCCTCCAGGGCAGTGCTGGTCTCTGGAGTGTGGTGCCATTGTCTGGTCTCTGTTGCTTCTGTCTGGGTCATCTGACCTCAGTGGATGCCAAGGGGAGAGGACCCTGGGTGATGACTGTGGATTAAAGGTTATGAGAGAAGGAAGCACCAGAGGACTCCTGCCCTTACCTGGGGTGTCAGAGGTAGTCAGGGAACACTTCCTGGAGGAGGAGGCAGGCAGAAGGATATGGCGTCAGCTACACACAGTGCGGGTAGAGGTACAGGAATAGTGTTCTAGAAAGAGAGGAACTGGATTAGGCAAAGGTCCACAGGCAAGAGAGGATGTGGCTCATCTGGAGTAATTGCAAAGAATTTGGCAAGGCTGAAATCAGTTGACAGTGGGGAGAACGGGGTATGAGGTAAGGCCAGATGACAGAGGCAATGCTGAGAGTTTGGACTTATCCCTATACAGCAAGAGAAACTTGGACTCAACATGACCTAACCCTTTGCAGTGCACCAGCCGGCTAAATGCTGGGTGTTACTGGTGGACACTGTGAAGACTGAAGGACTGTTCAGCAAAAGAAGTGACTTTTGGTCAGGTCTGTTTTACAGTTAGAAGAATGCATGTGGTAGCTTTGAGGTCCTCTCCTGGCATAGGTTGGAGACTTGTTTTTTCCCATCATGTTCTGAGTGTCCTCCGGGTGCTTGGCACTATGCCAGGGCTCTGGGCCTGGATGGTATTTTGAATGTGAGCGTTGACTTGTAGCTATCCTAGCACTGCCCAGATCAGGACCTGAGAGTATGAGGGGGTTTGGGCATGGGAAGGGTTGTTCCTCCTTCTTCCCAAGAGAGGCAGTGAGAGCCGAGGCCTGACCAGACAGGTTATTGGGAATCATGGTAATATCCCAGCCCTGTGCATTTTCAAATGAGCACATATTTGTTGAACACCTACTGTGTTCTCATCCCTGGGCATATAATGATAAACAGGTATGGAATCTGCCTGCACAGAGCTTACAGGCTAGGGAAGGGAGGAGAGAGAGAGAGCTTTCACCTTCAGCAGAGCCACATCCTCTTGATCAAGCTGACCCTGGGATTATGGTACCTAACATGCAAGCAGATGTCCAGGTCTTCTGTACCCACCTCCTCACCCAAAACAACACAAGCAAATAAATAACTTATAGAGAACTTGGAGCTCTGTGGCCAAACCTGGCATTGAGAGAGGACCTCTCCGACAGGGATTTTTGTTACCTCCCAACTCTGGGTTTGGAGTTCCAAGGTGGGCCACAGCAGGGCCTGCTGCTGCTGGTAAGGACGAAGCTTGGGGAGAAGATTGGTGGGTCTCAGGCAGAGGAAAATGTGGATACCTTGATGAAGGGGAAGGATAACAGAGCTTGAATTACAGAACTGAGTTTGATGGGAGCTGGCAGAAGGTTCTATCCTGGTTCTGCTACTAATGTGCTGTGTGACTTTGGACAAGTCCTTTCTGTTTTCTGAGCCTCAATTGCCCTGTCTTTAAAGTGGGTGGTATTGGGCGAGAAACAAGGTGGCAAATAGATTTTGTCTCACTTGCCAAAATTGATTGCTGTTGACTTCTTCAAGCCCTGTTTCCAGCAACTGTCCGGACTCAAGAGAAAGCATGCTGTGATTATGTAGATGTCTGCCACTCGTGCGTCTGGGATTGGAGGTTGCCGCATGTGTTCTGCAGGTTTGCAGACCCCAGGCCTTATTATCCCCAAGTTCCTTCTTGCGTTGATATTCTTTGATTCTTCCATTCTTCCTTCTATCTCCTATGTCACTATGTCACTTTTCCACCAGCCAGTTGTCTGCCTTCTGCTTAAACACCTCCATGATACGGACCTCTTCTCTCACACAGAATTGTTAGATTGTTATTCTTCCTGTTGAGCTGAAATCTGCTCCCCTGAACTTGTGCCTTAGGTTCAGGCATAGGTAATGTCCTTACGTACTTGTGGCCTCGGTAATCAAGTTATAATTTCTGCCTTCTGGAGGCATACAGAACTGCTGCTTTCTAATATTTTGTAACAATGACAGAAATGGCATGTGTATATCCTTTGGAAAAAGCCCTCTAAAAGCATTGTCACTTTATGCTGCAACTCTGTGAAGGTGGTATTATCCTTTCCATTTTACAGGGGAGGAAGCTGACGCTCAGAGAGTTGACAGAGTGGCCCTCTGAGACCAAGCCTGTGCGCCTCTAGCCAGCTGCTCTCCTCATCACGGCCCTGTCCCCAGCCTTGTTCTCCTGGCTCCCCTGAAAGCCCACGGCTCCCGTTCTCTCGCCCTCCGCAGGTTTCCATGTGATTCCCACTATCTCGAGCATCGTCCCGGAGAGCTGCCTGCTGATTGTGGTGGGGCTGCTGGTGGGGGGCCTGATCAAGGGCGTGGGCGAGACGCCCCCCTTCCTGCAATCAAACATCTTCTTCCTCTTCCTGCTGCCTCCCATCATCCTGGATGCGGGCTACTTCTTGCCACTGCGACAGTTCACAGAGAACCTGGGCACTATCCTGATCTTCGCCGTGGTGGGCACGCTGTGGAATGCCTTCTTCCTGGGTGGCCTCATGTACGCCGTATGCCTAGTGGGCGGCGAGCAGATCAACAACATCGGCCTCCTGGACAACCTGCTCTTTGGCAGCATCATCTCGGCCGTGGACCCTGTGGCCGTTCTGGCCGTCTTCGAGGAAATTCACATCAATGAGCTGCTGCACATCCTCGTCTTCGGGGAGTCCCTGCTCAATGACGCCGTCACTGTGGTGAGGGGGCCGGGGGCCATGCCCACATGCACACAGGGCACAGACCCACATCCAAGTCCAGGAGCGGATCCCTCATCCGCCCGCTAATAACAGTAATCAAAGCAGCTAATGTCCATTCCTGCCTACTGTGTTCCAGGCACTGTGCTGAGCACTGTGACATGGATTATCTCATTTAGTCCTCATGACAGCCTTCATCCGCCCGCTAATAACAGTAATCAAAGCAGCTAATGTCCATTCCTGCCTACTATGTTCCAGGCACTGTGCTGAGCACTGTGACATGGATTATCTCATTTAGTCCTCATGACAGCCGCAGGAGGTGCTTATTATTCTCATTTTACAGAGGAGGAAACAGGCCTGATGAAGTTAAGTAACCTGCTAGAATGTGATAGAACTGAGATTTGAACCAATTTGTGATCGAACCGTGTCTGTCTGACTCCAGGGCCTGAGCTCTTGGCCTTACTAGGTCATATGATCCCTCCTTGACTTGAGTTTTGAGGTGATCTTGGGCAAATTACTTATCTTCTCTGTGCCTCAGCTTCCTCTTTACAGACCATTTAATCTCTGAGGGGTCTTTCAACTCTCATGTTGGCTATGTCTTGAGTTAGAATTTGGTTTATGCAGAGATTGTGGAAAGGGGCCTGGCCCCCCAAAACCTTCAGAAGGTGATAAGTAAAATGTATTGTCCTGGGTTGTCCACTTGCTTTGTGACCTTAAGCAAGTGACTATACCTCTCTGGGCCTCACCTTTGATAGCTGCCAAGTGGCAGAGTACTAGTGCATTCCTCCCAGGGTCTAGGGAGGACAGATACCTCAATGCAGCATCATCTTGGCTGTGGACCCTGTGGCCATTCTAGTCATCTTCAAGGAAATGTTAGCACTATATAGGCCTGCATGTGTACCCTTCCTCCCAGCCAGTTTCCTCAGACAACAGATACATGTATGTGCATGCTTACGTCGTGTTGTGGAAACACCCCATCCCCCTCCTTAGCTGGCGCCCTGAGAGCAGCTGCCCACACAGGAAAGCACAGGACACATGTGCATGCCCAGTCCACGTTCCCACCCATGCTTCCTCTTTTCCACTCCCAGCCACTCAGGAAGCACCACCTCAGAGAAGAGACACGCTGTGGTGTTGAGCTGCCGGCAGCCTGGGCTTCCTCCTCCTTCCCTGCCCCCCTCGCCGGCTCCTCAGGGCTGGGTAGAGCAGCAGCCTGGCCAGAACAGGCAGGCCTCTGTCCTGGTCTCTTCTAGCACCAGCTCTTGCCCAGGGTCACCACACGAGCCTCAGTTTTCCCATCTGTGAGGCAGGGATTACATCCCCAGCCTGCCATCCTCCCAGGACTTCTTACAGGAGTCACACTCACTAATGTCTGTGAGACCAGTGGGTGCCACGGACAAAACTCTACCTGGCTGGATCTGGATGTTGGCGTTCAGGGTGGCACTACTGGAGAACAGTGGGGCATGGTGGCATCAAATAGGCAATCCAGATCTGGCCACTTTGTACCCATGGCCACGTCTCCCGAAGGTGGTGGCAGGGGTGGTAGTGATTGCTGGTGTCTGTCGAAGTCTTCCTGTCTGAATGTATATTGTCTCATCACATCCACACAGTAATCTGTGAGGCTGGCACTGTTATTATCCCAGTTTTTCCAAATGAGGAAACTGAGGCACTGAGAGGAGATAGGTGATGTAGCTGGGGTTCAGATCTACACAGTCTGAGTCCAGAGCACAAATGCTGGCCACTATGCTACACTGCCTCCCTGTAGTTCCAGTGACAATAGTACCAGGCCAGAAAGGAGGACCTTGCCCTCTGTGCCCACCCCGCTGGCCGATGTGGTCGACCATGAGGACCCATGAGTCCCCTCAGGCCAGGAGTGAGTTTAGGTAGCCAAGAACTGAGAGCGCAACTGCTAACAAGGCTGTCTGCTGCTGGAGCCCCCCACCTTGTCTCTCAGATGGGGACTGGCCAGTGCTTGGCATTGACCCTTCCTGCCTGGCCCAAGTCTGGCCTTTCTAAAGCTCTGGTCACAATTGTGAGTGTCCCACTTCCCGACAGTCAAGCTGGAGCTTCCCCCGAGCTGCAGTCTCAGGTCTGTACCCTGGAGCAGGTCTTCCCCACACCCCGTCCTCCTGCAGATACTGCTCAGCTACTGGGGGCTATGGAGGGCTCCCTCTCATGATTCTCAGGTCCTCTCCCCACTGCCCCCAGGCCTGGAAACTCTCCAGCTGGTTCCCGGCAGAGCTTTCTAGGACTGGACTCGAGTGGGCCAGGCAGCCAGGGAGCTGGCCCCCAGGAGGAGGCAGAACCTTGAAGCTTAGCCTGTTAGGGAGCCCCCGGCCCACAGCCATTAGAGAATGAGTTCTGGGCCCAGTTCTACTGCTCCTGGGCTGGTGGCCCTCTGGCATGTCACTTCACCACTGTGAGCCTCAGTTAAGTAAGGGAACAGGCATCCTTGGCCACTTACCTCATAAGGTTGTTGTCAACAAGAATAAAGATTGTCAAGGGGCTTTACGGTATATGAAGTGCCACTGGAACATCTGATGATAGTGTTACGATAACCACTTATTTCCCAGTCCAGGAGATGGGGAAGCCACAGAGAGCCTCCAGTCCCCCAGCATCGGAACTCGGCTGTTCATCACAGCCACCTGGGGAGCTTGTTAAGTAGAGATTTCTGGCCCTACCCCAGAGAGTCCAAGTCGAGCATGGCCTGGCCATGTGTACTTTCAGAAAGGTTCGGAGGTTAAGAAATCCTGTTCTAGTTCATTGTCTGAATGTCCCTGCTTTGTGAAGGAGAGATTGAAATCCAGAGAGGGGCACAATTTGCCCAAGGTCAGTCAGTGAGGGAGGCAGACTTGATAGCACCACTAAGTAGCTAACGCTGCATCAGGCAGGGTTCTAAGCACTTCGCCTTCGTTAACTAACTTAATCCTCACAACAGCCCTGTAAAGTTGGTACTATTATTATCCTCATTTTATAGATGGGAAGACCAAAGCACAGGGAGATTGAGTAATTTGCTCCGTGTACACAGTTAGGGAGTGGCAGAGCCAGGCAGCTTGGCTTCAGAGTTCATGCTCTTAACCAGCATGGCATGCTGCCCCTTTGGCCTCCAGGCCGTGGTTTTTGTTTTTGTTTTTTGGGGGGTAGGGTAGGGGCGTGCAAGGATCTGAACCCTTGACCTTGGTGTTATAACAACACAATCTAACCAACTGAGCTAACTGACCAGCCTAGGCTGTGGTTTTCAGCACCCACTTGGTGTGAGGGTTTCTCTGCTACCAGGTGGCCTTTTGCAGCCATGGTCAATGGTGGTTTTTGTTTTTGTTTTTTGGGGGGTGGGGTAGGGGCATGCAAGGATCTGAACCCTTGACCTTGGTGTTATAACAACACAATCTAACCAACTGAGCTAACTGACCAGCCTAGGCTGTGGTTTTGAGCACCCACTTGGTGTGAGGGTTTCTCTGCTACCAGGTGGCCTTTTGCAGCCATGGTCAATGGAAGGGATGGGATCACCCTGGGTGGACCCCAGGGAGCCGTGGGGCCAGGGTTCTGCCCTCCCATCCACCAGCCTGCACACCCTCCTCAGGTCCTGTATCACCTCTTTGAGGAGTTTGCCAGCTACGACCAAGTGGGCATCGTGGACATCGTCCTCGGCTTCCTGAGCTTCTTCGTGGTGGCCTTGGGTGGGGTGTTTGTGGGCGTGGTCTACGGGATCATCGCAGCCTTCACCTCCCGGTTCACTTCCCACATCCGTGTCATCGAGCCGCTCTTCGTCTTCCTCTACAGCTACATGGCCTACCTGTCAGCCGAGCTCTTCCACCTGTCAGGCATCATGGCGTGAGTCTGGGAGCAGTGGGCAGCGGGCTTGTGGGGGAAGGCCACCAGCTTGGATTCCCCGGGCTTGTGGAGTCATGAGGGAGCTCCCAGGGCCCAGACATGAGTTCCAGGCTCCAGGGCTGCTTGGTAGCCATTTAGATAACAAAGGTCATCAGAGCTTCCTAGAAGAAGGGCACTTCTGCTGGGTTCTGTGCGATCCAGGAGTCTGGAGAGGGCATATGTGGCCATGAGCAGATGAGGCAAGAGTGACCTGCGTTAGGGCAAGCCCAGAGCACAGGAGGGCACAACCTGGGGCTGCCCATCAAAGCAACTAAGTTCTGGAAAGCCTCAGCCCTGCTACTTCCCTTCATTTGTCTCAAAGGGGGTCCCCTGGTCATAGCTGGACATGGCACTCATTCACGCTTCCCCTCAGCAGCCCCAGCAAGGCTGCTGGAAGCTTCCACTAAAGCAAGGAGCCTCATTGGTCCTGAGTCCCGGAGGTCCTGAGGCCTCTGCAGGTCTTGAAGTGGGGGAATGGGGTGTGCAGAGGCAGCAGGAGCTCAGAAGTGCAGAGGCGGGGCTGAAGTGGGGGAGTCAGGGCAGCAGCGAGGAAGCCTGGCTAGCAGGAGTGGAGCCTGGGGGTGGGCGCCGGGCCGGGAGGACTTGGGCTCCCACTCGGAACAAAACTCCCTGTGGGGACCCCTGTGTACTGGGGGATGCCACATTCAGGGGACTAAACCTGAGAGACCGTGACATGTGTCATGAACTCTCTTAGGCAGAGAGGCAGTGTGGCCTTGAGGAGAAGGCACAGGCTTTGGAGTTGGACAGACCTTAGTTTGCATCTTAGCTCTGCCACTCTCTGGCAGTGTGCCAGTGGGCAGGCAACTGTTTTTGTAAGGGTCGGATCCCTCATCTGGAATATGCAAGAATGTGCCTGTGCCTGTGGGGTTGATGTGAGGATTGAGTGAGAGCAGGTGTGTCCATGCATTGGGTGTCTGGCCCACAGGAGGAGCCCAGTAAATGGGCACCTTCAGCCTAGTGCTGTCAGCCCCAGCCCCCAACCCCAGCAGTGAGGGGCTTGGGAAGGTGCAGTTCGACTCTGAGCCGTGAACCCCACTCTTCCCCAACCCCAGACTCATTGCCTCAGGAGTGGTGATGCGCCCCTACGTGGAGGCCAACATCTCGCACAAGTCGCACACCACCATCAAATATTTCCTGAAGATGTGGAGCAGCGTCAGTGAGACCCTTATCTTCATCTTCCTCGGTGTGTCCACCGTAGCCGGCTCCCACCACTGGAACTGGACCTTCGTCATCAGCACTCTGCTCTTCTGCCTCATCGCCCGAGTGCTTGGTGAGGGCTGGGCCCAGGCCGGGGGAGAGGTGTGTATGTGTGTGGTGTGTTGTGTGGAGGGGCTACGCTGTGGCCTGTGTGTGCGTGCATGCATATGGCGTGGTGTGTGTGTTGGGGGAGCAGTGTGTAGAGGGTCCTGGGTGGCTCCTTGCTGCTCCAGGCACAGCTGGACAGGAGGGGCTTCCTCATTCCTCCTCTGCAGTGTTGATGCCATGATGGGCCCTTGAGGGGGGAGAAAACCCATGCTCATGGTGAGTCCATGACCTCTGGACACAGAGTCATGATGTGTCAGAGTAAAGGGGCCTCTGAGACCCTCTGACTCTGAGCATGTTGGTTTTCTGAGGAGGGGACTGAGGCCCACAGATGCCAGGTCTCTGACTCTGAGCTAGGCGTTCTCTGCATTGTCTCTCAGCACAGGTGACATGAGCCCTTGCAAAACTGCGTGCAGCTCCTTGCAGACCTACAGGCCGCACGTGGGGACCTGGTCTCAGGTCCTTGGGTTTTGCTCACATGTGCCAGACACACCTCACCTCAGTGGCTAGGCCACTTCCCCTGTCTGGATTTCACTCACCTCATCTCTAAGATGAGGGTTAGATCTGTGGTCCCTGAGCCTGGCTTGGCGGGGGGCGGGGGGGAGTCACATTTACTTGGTGCACTTTTTAACATCTCCTTAGTTCCTGTGCCTCATCCTCTAGAGATTCTGGTTCTGTGGGTTGAGGTTGGACCCAGTCCTCTGCATTTTAAAATAATGTTTTATTATGGAAAATTTCAAAGACATAGAAGAGTAGAAAGAATAGGATAATGATACCCCATGTACCCATCCTATTTAACAAGTATCAACCTGTGACCAATCTGTTTCATCTTTTCTCCCTCCTGCCTCCTGACCTCCAGCCACTGGAAGCCTCTGTGCTGTCTTTAAAGCACATCCAGGTTGGAGAATCATTTTAAAGATCTACTCAGCTCTTGGTTTGAGGGGTTTGGAGCACCCTGGGCTGAGGGACCCAGGAGATGAGTGAGCTGGGTGCCCAGGAGATGAGTGAGCTGGGTGGGCTTAGGAGTGGAGCCTTCCTGGATATGCAGCGAAGTCTGTGGTGCAGAAGCCAGGAGGGGCTGGGGACAGCCTGACACTCATCTTCCCCCTCCCTGGCAGGCGTGCTGGGCCTGACCTGGTTCATCAACAAGTTCCGCATTGTGAAGCTGACCCCCAAGGACCAGTTCATCATCGCCTATGGGGGCCTGCGAGGGGCCATCGCCTTCTCCCTGGGCTACCTCCTGGACAAGCAGCACTTCCCCATGTGCGACCTATTCCTCACTGCCATCATCACCGTCATCTTCTTCACTGTCTTTGTGCAGGTGTGGGGCAAGGGCAGAGCGGGCCCTTGGGGACCCTGACTCTGTTCAGTGAAAAAAGAGGAAAGCCTGTGACCCAAAATGGGATCATGGGTTCCAGTCCTAGCTGTCCTGATAACTTGCTGCATGACCTTGGGCAAGCCGCTCCCCCTTTCTAGGCATCAGTTTCCTCACTTGTAAGAATTGTGATCATGAGTCTTTATGAAGTGACCAATCAGAATGCAAAGTAACCAGGATGCTGCTCATCTTAATTAGGAGCCTAGATAGCATTAAGAGAAGTAGGTAGTCAGCAGGCCCAAGATCTGACTTTACCACAAACTCATTGTAGGGCTTTTGGCAAGTGTTATAATATCCTAGGATCTCAATTTCAGCATCTATAAAATGGGGATAATAGCACAGCATGGAGAACTAGAAAGGTGTCTGAGCTAGGCAGCAGGAGGCCCTAGGTCTGTTGCTGTGTCTGACACACACACACACGCGCGTGCACACACACAGACACACACACGGTGCAGACTGCATCACCTCACCTGCACACACACACACACACACACACACACGGTGCAGACTGCACCACCTCACCTGACTGTGTGGCCTTGGGTGAGAAACACTCTGTCTGGGCCTCCATTTCTTTACCATCCCTTCTGCCTTTCCTGGGCACTAATCCTCACACAGCCCTAGATGGGACACATCTTTGCCTTTTCATGAGAAAAAATATAGGGGAAACCTCCTGGGGTTGGGTTTATTTTCTATCTTTTAAAAGTAGAGGGAACTGCCTCTTTTGTCCTCTTTCTCTGCTTCCATCTTGAAAAGTATTTTTTCACCTTGACTTTGCAGTTGTGTCTGCTAATGGCTTTCTAAGCACCTTTTCATTGAATGCGGCACTGGGGTGGGGACCTCCCTCCAGAACCAGCCTGCCTGGGTTTGGATCTTGGCTGTACTACTTCTGTGGGACCTTAGAAAGTTGCTTAACTTCTCTGAGCCTCAGTTTCCTCACCAGGGACAATAAAAGGATCTACCTCTTAGAGTAGTTGTGGGTATTGAAGTGAAACACGACCGGGTCTGGCCCAATGGCAAGCGTGCAGTTACATTAGCTGCTGCTGTTTTTACCTGATCCTCCTAGCAGACCTGAGAGGGAGTTAGAACAGAGGTGGTTCTCCCTGTTTGCGAGGTCTGGCTTCCTTGGGGTTCCAGAACGAGTCTGTGGTGGAGCCCACATTTGAATGCTCTGAGCCCTGGCCCAGTGTGCGGGTCATCCAGGTAGTCGGGTTCTCAAACCGTCTGGCAGTGTCTCCAGGAAGAAGCAGGCCTTAAGGACCTGCCTTTATATAAGTGCTGGAATGGAGGCTGGGGAGTTTCAACACGCTTTGGTCCTGAGAGATTGGGGAGCTCAGAGCAGGGAGGGTATCCTAGCCTCAGGAGCCCTGGGGGAGGTGGGAGGTAGCAGAACTGGAATGCCTGATGCTCACCTACACCCGCAGGGCATGACCATTCGGCCTCTGGTAGACCTGTTGGCTGTGAAGAAAAAGCAAGAAACGAAGCGCTCCATCAATGAGGAGATCCACACACAGGTACTGGAAGCTGGGGCTGTGCCCTCGGTTGCAGGAGGTGGCTCAGGGAGCTGGGGAGCAGCTAGCTTCACGTCTGCCCTCAGTCAGCCCCCTCCTGCCTTATCGCAGGGCCAGGTCAGTCCCTCAGCTCTTTGAGGCCACAAGGGTCTAGCCATAGGGAAGGCTGAGAGCCTGAGGAGGGGCGTCATGCCATCTAGTTGGAACTTATCCCAGGCATTGGACGTAGGTGGGTTCAGAGAAGGGGACTCAGCTGGGCCCCAGGGGCAGTCAGTCCTACTGGAGTTCAGGATGCATGGGGTGCAGGCGCCACCTCCTGGCTACTCCTGGAACTGCAGGGCTGGGCTGAGCAGAGCTGCAGCTCTGGTCAAAGGTGGGGGCCTGTTCAGAGGTCTTGGTAGGGGAGGAGCCCAGTAGTGAGGCTTGACCTGGCCCTGGGCCCGTTTCAGTTCCTGGACCACCTTCTGACAGGCATCGAGGACATCTGTGGCCACTATGGCCACCACCACTGGAAGGACAAGTAGGTGGCAGGCCTGGTGGGCGGGCAGGTGGGCGGGCAGGGGTAGGTAAGGCTCTCCCGGGCCTGGGTTTCTCCCCACCCCTAGGAGCCGGCTCCATTCGTCTCTTTGCTCCTCCCCCCAGGCTGAACCGGTTCAATAAGAAGTACGTGAAGAAGTGTCTGATAGCCGGTGAGCGCTCCAAAGAGCCGCAGCTCATCGCTTTCTACCACAAGATGGAGATGAAGCAGGCCATCGAGCTGGTTGAGAGCGGGGGCATGGGCAAGATCCCCTCTGCTGTCTCCACCGTCTCCATGCAGTGAGTGCCAAGGGCCAGTCTGGGCAGTTGCTGCACCCACACACTAGCCCCTTGACCCTAGCCTGGGGCAGGCCACCTGGTGGGGGGGTAGGGGGTGGGTCTGTTGTCCTGTCAGGACAGGTGAGAAAGCTGTGGGCCACACTGAGGGCCTGAGGCTTTGGCCATCCACCTGGACCACCCCCAGGGTGACCTCCTCCTGGCCTGGCCCAGCAAGCTCCAGGATCACAAGAATTTTCTTGAGGACCTAACCCATACCCTGTTGTCCCAGGAACATCCACCCTAAGTCCCTGCCTGCTGAACGTATCCTGCCAGCACTGTCCAAGGACAAGGAGGAGGAGATCCGCAAAATCCTGAGGAACAACTTGCAGAAGACCAGGCAGCGGGTGAGGGCCTGCTCCCTGGACCGGCTCCCCCATGGCAGAGCCCCTCCGCCCCTCTCCACTATAGTCCTGCCCCCTGCACCCTGTCCCAAGCCTCTGGCCCAGCCTCCAGCACTTCCCCCATCCCCGCCCCACACGTGACCTGCCCTGCCCTGACAGCTGTTCCTCCCACAGCTACGCTCCTACAACAGACACACGCTGGTGGCAGACCCCTACGAGGAGGCCTGGAACCAGATGCTGCTCCGGAGACAGAAGGCCCGGCAGCTGGAGCAGAAGGTGTGTCCCAGCCTGGAGCTGGCCCCACCTTTCTCTGGGAATCTGGAGTTGTCTTCTTCCCACACCCCCACCCCCAGCGCTCCACTGAGTTCCTCTGGGGAAACATGCCTATTTTAGAAACTGAGGGGTTCGGCTTTCGGGAAGGCTTGTTGATGGTGTAAGGGTTGGGGCTTTATTGGAAGGGCATAGAAAGCCATGAAGGGTTTCTAAGCGAGGGATTGACATGCAGAGGGGCGGGGTAGGGGGTTCTGGATTAGGGCGGTGGCAGGGGAGCTGGAGAGGAGTGGGTAGATTTAAGGGGCGTTGAGGAGGTGGAGCTAGGAAGACTTGGTCCGGTTTGAGGTGGGGCTGAGGAAAGAGGAAAGGGAGTCAGGGCTCATGTCTAGGCTTCTGATTGGGATAGTTGGGAATGGTGACTGGCCTAAGGGGACCCCAAGGAAGGAACCAGGTTTTGAGGGAAGGTAGGGAGCTGGGCTCAGTCTCAGTGTATTGGATTAGAGGTACCTGGGGGCCATCCAGGGTCCAGGTATCCACTCCTGAGTTGGCTTTCTGGGTTTAGAACCTCAGGGGAAGGTGTGGGCTGGAGCTAGAGGCTGGGGCAGTGTAGGAGTGTTCGAGGCTGCCCAGGGAGCTTGCATAGCTTGTGAAAGCCTGGGAGGCCGTGAAGTGCCAGCGCAGGCACGAGGAAGAGCCCAACGAGGAGTGGCTGCAGAGGGAGCGAGCACCCCGAACACACCAGAGAAGGATGCACACAGCCGGTGCCATCCAGAGGAGCCCTGGGCCCATTCACGCTCAGCCGCCCGCTCACAGTCTGCTCTCTCTGTCAGATCAACAACTACCTGACGGTGCCGGCCCACAAGCTGGACTCGCCCACCATGTCGCGGGCCCGCATCGGCTCAGGTAAGGTCCTAGAGAGGGGCTCAGGTCTGGGCGCTCGGTGCCACCACCTCCCAAGGATGAGGCTAAAGCAGGAGCAGGCCTCAGAGCTGGCGGGGAGGACGGGTTTCTCCCTCGCTGGCCGCCTCAGGGCCTCCTCCCAAGCCATGAGCTGCTTCTACATCAGGTGGGGCCTGAGGGTTGACAAAAGGGGGCAGAATGGTCCTACTGTCATCCCCAGAGACAGAAGTGATCCCAGTGGGGCTCCCAGTGAGAACTGTGAAGGGAGCTGGGAGCAGACAGGGTGCCTGGCAGGGAGGCAGGGGTTCTGCACCACTGAAGTTGCCAGCACACGCCAGGGGAACGAGGGCAGGCCTGGGCCCCTAGGGTGGACGGTGACTCAGGAAGGAGCCCTAATTCTTGACCTGCAGAGGGACACCTATGGGAGCCCCTGGTCACAGGAGAGGAACACAGTCTGGGGTGAGGCATCAGACTCACATAGATGTAGTTCTGCAGCTGGGGGATGGCCGTGCTCACAGGGAGGCTCTGTGGGAGGGGCTGACATGGGCTGGGGGCTGTCCAAGGTGGGGCACGTACTGGGCAGGCTCTGGGCAGCACCTAGCTTGTGCCTTGCTCTCGGTCCCCAGACCCACTGGCCTATGAGCCGAAGGCAGACTTACCTGTCATCACCATCGACCCAGCCTCCCCACAGTCACCCGAGTCTGTGGACCTGGTGAATGAGGAGCTGAAGGGCAAGGTCCTGGGCCTGAACCAGGATCCAGCGAGGGTGGCCGAGGAGGACGAGGACGATGATGGGGGCATTATGATGCGGAGCAAGGAGCCTTCATCCCCAGGCACCGATGATGTCTTCACCCCTGCGCCAAGTGACAGCCCCAGCTCCCAGAGGATACAGCGCTGCCTCAGCGACCCAGGCCCCCACCCTGAACCTGGGGAGGGAGAGCCTTTCATCCCCAAGGCGCAGTAGCGCCAGGGCCAGTGGGCAGCACCCGTCCCACCACAGACTCTCCCACCAGAGCAGGGGCTGCTGGGGGAGCTGGGGGGCTCCCCTCGCCCTTCCTGAGCTGGATCGGCCCTGCCCCTCCCCCCACCGCATGGCAGCTGGGCCCACAGCCCCCACCGCAGCACGGCTTCCCCACCAGAACTGCCTTCCCCATCCCTGTGGCAGAGCTGCCGGGGCTGTTAAGACAGGCCTGCCCCTTGCCCAGACCCAGGTTCTCCCATGCCCGGGCTCAGGCCTCTGAGTCGGAGGCCTGCCCCTTCCTCCACTCCATCACCCACCTCACGCAGACCAATCTTAGTTTCTAACCAAAGAGCCTGTGGCTCAGCTGTGGTCTCACCCAGGAAGGGAAGGAACTGAGGCCCCTTTTGGCCTAGGCCAGGCCCTTCTTTATCAGGGTAAACACCAGGGGACCAGGCGTGTGGTGGGGGGAGGGATCGATGACCCATGGCAACGTCACCCTACTCCTGCCAGCTCTGTCCCCCTGGCCAGCTGCCCTGACCTGTCCTCACTCAGCTGCAGGCTGAGGGCATCTCTGAGCTTCTCTGCCTGGAGCTGGGGTGCTTTGGACAGTGATGTGACTCAGAGCTTTTCTAACTGTGCTCCTTTGGGGATCACTGGGCCCTTCAGGGGCTGCTGCCAGGTAAGGGACTGTCTGAGGCTCCAGAAAGTGCTGCCTTTTTATGTTTTGTTTGTTCACACTTCCATGTATGACTGTTTGCACAGAGGGCACTCCCTTTTTTTTTTTTTAAGGATGACCGGTAAGGGGATCTTAACCCTTGACTTGGTGTTGTCAGCACCACGCTCACCCAGTGAGCAAACCGGCCATCCCTATATGGGATCCGAACCCGCGGTCTTGGTGTTATCAGCACCGCACTCTGCTGAGTGAGCCACGGGCTGGCCCCAGGCACTCCCATTTTTAAAACATTTTGAAAACCCCTGATTGAATAGAGCTCTGCCCCTCTAACTCCCTCCTACTCCAGAGAATTACCCCTCCTCATTTGTACCTGTCTGTCCAACACCCTTCCCCAAATCAGTCCTCTGCCTGCTGGGCTCTGAACTGTTGCCCAGAGGCTCTGATTTTAGAATTGACCCCCAACCCCAATCATGATTCTCTACAACCTCACAGATGCTGGGCCTCCCAGCACCTTCCTAGTTCTTGGGACCGACCCTCAGTTCCTGTTGACCTTTCTTACTTCCCCCACCCCGGCCGGCCTCTGGAACCTCTCCCTCTCATGCACCACGCCCACCTTGCTGGGGAGCCCCATCCTTGGGGCAGAAGGCCTCCCCTGGGGGTTTTCCTGCCTGGCTGGGGCTGGTAGGGTGGGCAGAGTCCTGAGCCCCCAGAGGCCTTCGCTCACAGGTACACTCCCCACCCCCACTGCCACCATGGTCAGTGGTGTCTGTCCTGCCTCCCCAGGACACTCCCTTACCCAGAATTGTGCAATAGTCAAGAGTGTCCCTCTTCCCAGTGGACTGGACCTTGGGTGCTCGACCCGTCCGTCCACCTTCCTCTCCGTGCAAATGCTGTTTTGGGCACTGGTCACCATGCAAGGGTGACATTGACAACCATGTACAAAGCCACCACAGCTGCTGCCGCTCTGCCGCCTGTACAGAAGAAACTGAATCTTTTTCACATTCTAATAAATCAATGTGAGTTTTTGATAGAGTCAAGGGCTGCTTCCTGGGGATGAGGGGCTTTAGGAAGGAGGGCAGCCTGGGGGCCTGGAGGACTTAGCTCAAAAATTCGCACACAGAAACGCTTAACAACTGTCAGCTGCTGGTGTGGCTATTCCCGTGTGCCAGGCACCGAGATGCAGCCGCGAGCAGAGTAGTGCTCCCTGCCCTGGGGAGCCTTCAGCCTGCAGGTGAGGAGCAACGTTAATCAAACATTCATACAGACATGGAAAACCCAGCGTGTTTGTGAGTGACAATGGATAAAGACGGAGGGGAAGGAGGGGACTTTCTGAGGATGTCACTTGATATCCTGGGCAAGGACTGAAGAATGGGCTCAGGAAACAAGGTGGAGAAGGTCTCAGAGGTCTCAAATATTCTAATCGGGAGCTGCACGTGCAAACACCCTGGGATCTGAGAAAAGGCAGGTGTGGCTGGGTCAGAGAGTGACAGCATGGGAGGCAAGGATAGGACCTTGCACTCCACAGTTAAGGTTTTGGTCTTTATACTAAGGGCAGTGGAAGGTCATTGAAGCCCCTGTGTTCTGACCTGTAAAATGGGGGCAGTGACCCCTGGATGAAATATGCTCGGGTGTGTAAAAGCTCAGCAGAGGGTGGGCCTCTGAGGTGCATTTCCTGGGCCTGGCCACCAGAGGACAGTGGGGCCTTGGCGCACACCCCAGACACCTTCCCCACCTGTCCAGGAATCATCTCCTTGGCCCAGCCTGGAATCTGAGTATGGAGCTGTTTTGACTTGTGAAACCTGAAGTGGTCAGTGCCAAAAGGACCACAGTGTGGGAGCACACAGTCCATTCCTATATCTGTCCGTGTCCCAGCAGGAAACGGATGGTACTCTCAAAGGGATACCGAAGAGCCTTCAACAAAGGGATTATCTACAGAAGCGTGGCAGGGTTAAGGGAGCTTACCAGGGATGGGACCCAGCAGGGCTTACACTACAGGAGGCCATTACAACCCCTAGACCCGAAAGGGCAAGACGAGCTGTAGCTATGGGAGGGGGCTGCCCTGCTAGAGCTGTGGCCACAGGTAGCAGAACAGAGCCAGAGAGGGAGCGGGGAGTATTCTGACTTTGATCCTGATGGTGCCTCCCATTGGCCACACCCAACTGGTAGGCAGAAGGGAAGGCAGCCTGAGTGACATCACTGAGCTCAGTCCAGCCTCCAGTGAGTGGAGGAGAGTGGATCACAGGGAAACAGGATGCCAAGCAGAGCCGCTCCTTTGCCCCTCAGCATCCTCTCATCCTTTAGATAAAAACCTTGTGTCCCTGTCGATTAATGGTTGCAGAATTTCTGTTTGGGGTGATGAAAAAATTTTGGAAATAGATTGGGGGATGGTTGCACAACATTGTAATTGTACCAAATGCCACTGAAGTGTTTGCTTGTCCCTGTCGATTAATGGTTGCAGAATTTCTGTTTGGGGTGATGAAAAAATTTTGGAAATAGTTTGGGGGATGGTTGCACAACATTGTAATTGTACCAAATGCCGCTGAAGTGTTTGCTTTTTTTTTTTTTGAAATCCATGAAGTGTTCAGTTTTAAATGGTTAATTTTATGTTATGGGAATTTCACCTCAATTTTTATTTAATGGAAGAAAGAAAGAAAAAAAAACCTTTGTCCCCAACAGGGGAAACAAAGCCTCATCAACACCATATCCTTGTCATGCTTTAGTGACCCTCACCTGGAGCCTAATTTAAAAGGTCAGTCATCACCAGGGCTCTTTAGGTAAGTCAGTAGGGGCACAAACAACAATAGGAAACCACTACAGCCCCCACTTTTGCAGGTCACGGGGCCTAAGGTCGCAGTCCTGGCATTCCCCCACACCCCACTCCCCTGATTTCCTCTTGCCATCTGCCAGCACTTTGGCTGATTGGGGCTTTTGTCTGGTGGAGTGTCCTAAACCTTTATTTCTATACAACTCAGCTTTTTACTGGTCTTGTTTGCTGGCTTGCCAGGTTTCCCATTGACTGTCATTATTGGACATGGGAGAACTGAGAGCCACCCAGTGAATTTCCTGGATCCCAGTCGTAGTTTTCCTGCCCACCCTCATTGTGTAGCAGGAACTTATTTCCCTTCTGGTAACCCAAATTACTCACCTGTCTGGTACAGTTGACCCCCTCTCTGGCTTCCGGTGAAGCCACATACAGAGCTCAAAATGACCAGGGAGAACACTACTTCGATGTAAAGGAACCATATCTGTGTTGCCTGGAGAAAGTCCTCCTTTGGGCATTAAGGATTCCAGATCCACTGAACACAAAATTGAGGGGGGAGAAAGCAAAATTTCCTACAGTAGGTAATTTGGAATAATAGAGAAGCCACTCCCACGTCCACCCCTTGGTCACTGGACCTATGCATTTTAGCTATGAAGAGGTGGAGCCATACAATGGCCATTGATTTAAAGCATATGCTTCCCCCTACCTGTCACTAACCTAATTACAGGGTGTTGTCTCCCAGTGGGGGCTCTGTAACGCTGTTCTATCCAGTCAGGTGCTACTGGTGGCAGGGTGATTGTAATACCAGTGCAGTCCATGGGTGAGACCATTGTGTGTATCCTTCGCCATAGAGGGGACGTAGGCAAGGTGGGATAGCAGAGTAATGAATAAGACATTCCCTAAAGTCCATAAATGACGGTGCTGGCAGAAGCGTTACAGGCAGGGAAGGAAAGTCCATATCAGGAGTACGTATTTATTACCGTGAGGTAATAGGTAATTGCTCCCTTCGTGAAAGAAGGGGTCCGTGTAATCAACCTGCCAATAACGAGCTAGCTGGTCTCCAGAGGGCAGTGGTTCTCAAGTTTTTTTTTGTCTCAGGAAGCCTTTACACTCTTAGAAAAGATCAAGGATCCCAAAGGATTTTTGTTTATGTGGGTTATACCCATTGATTTTACTAGTTTAGAAATTAAAACAAAGCTTTAAAATATTAATTTATTTAAAACATACTCATTACGTGTCAAAATAAGTAAAATATTTTTAATGAAAAGTAAGTTTTTCAAAACAAACATGAGTGGTATTATTTGACGTTTTTGCAAGTCTCTTTAGCGTCTGGCTTAGAAAACAGCTAGATTCCCCTGTCTTCAGCGTTTGATCTGTTATACACTCCTGTAGACTCTGGAAAATTCCACCGTACACTGGTGAAAGAATTGACAGTGAAAAGACAAATAATGTCTTAGTACTGATAAGAAAATAGGTTTGACCCCTTGGGGACCCCCAGGAAATGGTGCCATACAGGAAACAGCATGGTCTTTGCTGTTGGCAGCTTGGGCACTCGAAGCCAGTTGCCAGATCAGATTTGGGGAGGGAAATGTGTTGAGCCTCTGTGTATTAGTTTTTTGCAGCTGCTGTAACAAATTGCCACAAACTTAGTGGCTTGAAACACAAATTTATTATCTTACAGTTCTGGAAGTCAGAAGTCTGAAATGGGTCTTACTGGGCTAAAATCAAGATATCAGCAAGTCTGCATGTCTTTCTGGAGGCTCCAGAGAAAAGACGTTTTCTCACCCTTTCCAGCTTCTAGGGGCCCCCTGCCATCTGCAAAACGAGCCTTGGCCGAGTCTTTTTTCACTTCCCATCAGTCTGACACTGACTCTTCTGCTTCCCTCTTCTACATTTAAAGATCCCTATGATTACATTGGGCCCACCCGGATAATTTGGGATAATCTCCCTATTTTTAAGTTCAGGTGATTAGCAACCTTGATTCCATCTGCTACGTTAATTCACCCTTTTCATACAGCATGTGACATATTCACAGGTCCCAAGGATTAGAACATGGACATTTTTGGGGTGCTGTTATTCTGCCTACCACATCATACATAGCCATCCTGCCACCATGGCCACTATGTATGTGGGCCCATTGAGCAAGAACCAGGGTGACCAGGGAAAGAAGCTGACATCTACAGGATGCATCATCTTGTCCACATGATTATGGAGAGCCTCCTCCACAATGGATGTCCTCCCACGGCATTCATGTGGGTTAAAAATAGCTTCACCACCTAGGTCCATTTCAAGCAGTCCATCCATACATCTCTCCCTCAGACCTCATCACCTGCCTCTCAGTTTTGTGATTGCTAAGTCCCTGAACAGCCAGCTATCTTAACCACTGCTCCTGAATCAGTGTTGATCTGGAC